CCTCTCTCGGCGTCTGTTCTGTGCAGTGAGCTGCAGAGAAGCACCGCAGCCGACTCGTCAATAAATTAGTACAAAACAGCGTTTCCTAGCACTTGTCGCTTACTGATTTGTTTGGAATTATAAATATGAGCGTAGTTCGTCTGTTAATATCACATGCACTTTTTTGTTTGTTGATTTTTTTTAGTTTGTTACTCAGATGCAGGCAATGCGCTGCACGAGAAAAAAAGTAATACAGCCAAAACAACCGCATAGCCGCTCTTTAGTGTAGATGCATGTTGATTTTATCAGACGATGCCGCGATTATAAATGAGAGTGACTCCTGGTTAACATGTATTAAAAGGAATCGATCGTGTTTAGTCACTATTTAGTGTGGTATTTTTTGACAATATTCACTCATCATGACTGTAATATAGGGCATTCTAAGTCAATATACTGCAGTATTTCCTCTCTCAATCAGTAGAAAATATGGTTAACACCCGGTCATGCATGAAAAAAAATTACCGCATGCAAACAAAGTTAATTGAAAAATACCGTGATAAAAATTTCTGCTCATACCGCCCAGCACTAATCTATTGTATAAAATACCTTCAATCTATGATCAAACGTTAAGCATTAATTACAGAATCCAGATCCTCTATTCATACGTCAGAGTGTTTCTGCCATTGAGCTTGAATCAAAGAGCTGAACAGCTGCCAAACTATCACCAATCCAGATATTATGACAACAATTATCTGAGGTGTCACATAGCACTAGGATCCTCTGATTGAAAGCGACTCTCAAGCACCATGTGCTGTTTGCAGAGAAACTAGACGCATATGTAAGCGGTCTTCATTCACAGGCAGGTGACAGTCGCCGTCTTGAAAACTAGTGAGCTGCAAACCCAGACAGCACATTTGCGAATCACAGGCACATATGATGCACAGACAATGCTGTCTAGGTAGGCAGCTCACTAAGATTTGAGACAGACATAAAAAGCAAGCACTTAACAAATGTCTGAACTTGCTTTGAGTTACTAATATTTCAGTTAGATTCAGACAAATATAAAATAATGCAATTATTAACAATGTACTATGATTAGATATGTAAGGCACACTACTATTATTTGCAGTACCATTAACACTATATGTATATGAATATCATGAATATGGTATTATTACCATCTAATATATCACTGTACCATATAAACACGGGACTTTTAATAAAGGTAAAATGAAAGGGAGAAACGCTCCAGGCATTACAAGACACCCGAAACGACGCATTACAAAATGTACTGTGGAAGTACCATGGTAAAACTCAAAAATTCCACTGTAGAATGGCCAAAAACGAAGTATTACCATGGTACCATGTACAAAAGATTATGGTAATACAGCGGTAATGACTTAATGACACTCTATGACAGAGCCAAAGCGACATTTCAACGCAATGTCAGTGGTACGTTATTAATTTCTTAGGTATTAGTTTTAAACTGACAGTCCTATCTGAGGTTCTGCCGACTTTTAAGTGCACCCAAAGTGACTTTTAACAGGACAAATGTGTCTGAAGCCACATGATCAAGCCAGAACTTGAATGCTGAATCTCTTTCTTGTATCCAAACATACTGGTTTGACTAAATACTGCATGTCTCCACAAAGGGAGCTAAAAATATACACGAGTTTCCAGAAATAATTGAGGTAAGAGTCGTAAGCAATCACGGCTATGGCTTCACGGACACCGGCTAATGCTAAATTCAGACGTGCAAGTCATTCACTTGTGCTGGCCTGAAACATGACTCAAGACGGCTCACACACACACACACACAGACAAACCGACACGAGCTCCGGAGCGGTCAGACGGAGCTCTATAACCGCTTAGCCGGCTGCGTTCAGGCCTTCGGTCGTCATTCTAGGAGGGCAGGGCAGGGTAACTTAAAGCAGAAAGCTTTTAAAAGAAGTGTCTTAAATGAGGCCCAGTCGAAGCCCTGACCTCTCCACGGGCTACCTGCGGGAACACTCTCACACTCAGCCGAGCGAGCCGCAGCAGGCCTGGCCTAGCACACAGGCCCAGCGCAATATCACACCAAGCGGCTCCCAGAAAACGCCCTGTGCGCCACCGATGCGGTGTAAGTACATAAAAGGCTGCAAAATTCACAGCGGCCGCCATGAGGACTTTTCCCCAGTGCATTTGAATTGAAAACATGGCAACCTCGCGGGTCAGCACTGGCCTACAATTCAAGGCAACGACGCAGCGATCGGCGGTTTTTTCACACCTACCTTCATGTCGGGACATCCTACAGACAGTGACACAGCCCCTCCTCGGGCTCCCTAACGTCTATGAGTCAGAAAGGTGCCGCTAAAAACGAAATAAAAGTGGGACGCGGTCTTTCTTTCCTATTTTCTCTCTTGAAGATGGATCCGGGGCTTACTTCTCTCCGCTTCCCCCTCCCCGTCTGTCATCAAGCGACCGTGTGTGTGTGTGAGATGCACCGGGTGCGGACGCGGTCTGCCGGCAGGGGGCGCAGGACTCATCTACATCTTCTTCTGTGGTGTTTGAAGGGCGGTAAACTCGTGTAGCTCTCGGATGGACGAATATGTGTTCTTTTAGCGTTGGCATCGCCATCTACAGTAGCTGAAGGATATTTTTATTATTCAAAACCTAGAAATACAGTGGACCCAAACGTACACTAGCAGTCAAAAGTTGTTGAACAGTAAGAATTCTCCTCTGCTCACCAAGCCTGCATTTGTTTGATCCAAAATACAGCAAACGCAGTGATATTGTGAAATAGTTTTACTATTTAAAAGAACTGCTTTCTATTTGAATATACTTTCAAATGTTATTTATTCCTGTGATTTCAAAGCTGATTTTTTTAGCATCATAACTGCAGTCTTCAGTGTCACATGGTCCTGCAGAAATAATTATAATATATAATATTAATTCACGAATGTGTGAATTCAACTGCACTAATAAAATGTGAAACCAAGTGATTTCAGCACATTGTTTCTCAAAAAAGTTAGTTTTTTTTGTTTATTTTTCAATTTCATAAGCATTTACACACCTGTGTGAATTTGAGAAGTACTGACAGTTAAAAAAAAAACGATTAAAAGTCATTGCAAAAATGTCAGACATGTAAAGTTAGTTCTGAGGAAAAGTCTAACATGTTTTGTTTACAGATGATTTGATATTTTATTGCAGTGACTCATAATTTTAGTAAGTGTGGGCTAAACCTGTTCTTAAACGTTTGGGGCCACTGTAGATTGAAACTACAATATAGAAAAACAATCCTCATAATAAATAAATCAATAAAAACTATACAAAATACACAAGGGGTAAGTCTTCCAAGTAGGCCTATGTGTTCATAAATGACATAATTGATTGTGTGTGTGTGTGTGTGAGTGAGTGATGTATACATGAATATGGAAAATTATTTCCATATTCATGTATAGAACAGTTTTTACCTACCATTTCCAAAAACACTGGTTAAAAACGCTGGGTATAGAGTATTATATCAACCAGCTACATATAATTAAAAAATAATATTATGTTATAATATTAAAGTTACTTAATAATTCACACCCATTCATAACTTACACAGTGATTTTTTTTTTTGCATTCTTTATTTCTGCAAGTAATATTCAGTGCTATCTTATTGACATTTTTCAGTCCTTAGACATATAAACAGGCAGATAAACAAAAGTTGACACATTAGTGTCATGTACAAAGTGACCGTCAAATGGCCTCCAATATCATACAGTTAATTAGACAGCGAGTTTCATCTGAAAATACAGTGCATTTAAAAAGACAGTTGCAGCAGTTAAGATAAACATTCCTACATGCAAAATATGAACCCACATTACATTCCTGACATGTGGTTATCAGATTATCAAACAGCATTCCCTCATACCATACATTACAAGCATGCTTTAAAGAATATTAAATAGGTTCAAAAAACTCCTCCGTGTTCTTCTATGTGTGCTTAAATCACAGACTCCTTGGTAAAGCACTGAATTTTGAGATGAATTATATTGCCAGTAAGTCATTTAGGTAAAAATCTGATAGTTTAGAATTATTTTAAAGGGAAATTCCTAAATTACCAGAACTTTCTATGAGATGGTCAAAAGTCTATTTAAGATGAAGAACAATTTGGGACAAGGGAGTGCTTTTCATTGCATTTTTTGTGTTAGATAAAAGAAGAAATCACCATATTTCTATTTAAACAAAGCACACTATGCTTGTTGTCTAAGTTTTAAAAAACAATTGTTAATTAACATCTAAAATGTTTTGACTCATGAAGTATTAAAACATGGTATATGATAAGGCATTCTCAGGTCAATTTCCATATCTTCCTCTACCAGTGACCAAAATTATGTATATATATATATATATATATAAAAAAATAAAAAAAACCTTAACAAATAAAATTATTTCAATAAAAAGCAGCCCAAATGTGATTTATACAGCTAAAACGCAACATATGTCCTTGAAAGTACTATGATATTTTGGCAATTATCTAAAAAAAAAAAAAAGCATGATAATATAAATATTAAGTACCAACGATGTAATGATCATCTGAAGATATTTGGTTTTTCTCATTACCATCTAATGATGTTCATTCACTGAACATAATCCGAAGTTACAGACTTATCAAATGTTGGCATGGTATGGCAACTGGCTGAGTCACAATGTGGGACGTTTCTATAGACAAACAAGTCCGCATGCAAACGAAGCCCATCGGTTCTGTCCTTTATGAGCCCCACCGCAAAAAGCATTATTCCTTTCATGAAGGGAAGAAGTTTGAGTTCCAGTGAGGCTCTGTGGAGATCTAAGAGCCTTCATTCTGAATCGGAGGCTGTGCAGTGCCTGGCTGATCCTCTGCTGTCTTCTCTTTGATAGAGGAGGGACTGCTGTCGGGTTTGTTGCCGTCTGGGTTGCCATGGCTTCCTGCGCTGCCCAATCGAGTTGAAGCAACCACCGCTTTGACCGCTGCCTGTGGAAACATAAACACAGGAGTGTTTTTTGTTTTTTTTAATTGGATAACTTTAATATTAAAGCACATTTTGCAGATTATTATTTGTTAATGTTTCTTTTTAATTGATGTTAAATGAATGGTTCCCCAAAAATGGAAATTTGCTCAAAAAATTAACTCACCCTCAGGCCATCCAAGATGAAACAGATTTAGAAAAATGTAGCATTACATCACTTGCAGAGGTGGATCCTCTGCAGTGAATGGGTGCCGTCAGAATGAGAGTCCAAACAGCTGATAAAAACATCACAATAACCCACAAGTAATCCAAATGACTATAGTACATCAGTTAATGCCTTGTAAAGAAATAAAGCTGCAAGTTTGTGAGAAACACATCCTTTATTAATGTGTTGTAACTTTAAAACCTAGCTTCTGGTGAAAGCATGTCTCCATAAACCAAATTAACACTTCCTCGAGTGAAAAAGTCACATCAAAATCCAAGAACATATTAGTTTAAAACTGTTTTGGAGTGTTTTCGCTTGTAAACTGTGCTTGATCTGTGCAGATTTCTCTCCTGATTCAGACGAGAAGACTTTTTCACTGGAAAAAGCAATATTATGGATAAAGGACTTGTATTTTAGCCGGAAACAATGGTTTGCAGTTAAAACCATCTTAATGATTAATTTGTTTATTACAAACATGCAGCTTTTTGCTTCACAAGATGTTAATTGATGGACTGGAGTCGTGTGACTTACTTGTGGAATATTGTAATGTTTTTATCAGCTGTTTGGACTCTCATTCTGACGGCACCCATTCACTGCAGAGGATCCACTGGTGAGCAAGTGATGTAATGCTTAATTTTTCTAAATCTGTTCCACTGAAGAAACTAACTCATCTACATCTTGGATAGCTTGAGGGTGAGTAAACTTTCAGCTAATTTTCAATTTTGGGTGAACTATGCCTTTACGGAAAAGTGTGTAAATTCTTATAGCCACTAGCAGAATCAAGCATAATAAAAAAATTACTATATTTTTACATTTTCTGAAGATGTGTGAGTGGTGCTTGCTTGTACAAAACTTTTGGATTTTTTTAAAGGTTTTTAGTATGTTGCTATGTGTCTGCTAGGGTATTCTGGATGGTTGCTTGCTTACTTGCCCCAATCAAAAGTGCTTATTTCTATATATTCTGGTCTCTACATTAAAGTCTATGGGACTTTTTTTGCCCAGAGCAAAGCTTTGAGGTTTTTATACATGTTTAAGTTATGAACATATTTAAAGTTGTCAATCCTGTAAAGCCTGACATAAGAAATAATAGTAAGAAAAAAAAATAAAAAATTTGAAACGGAACAGCTTATTGAACCTTTAGGCAAAAGTATAAACATATAGAAAAAATAAGACATATATATTAATCTTTAAAGGGGTCATATGATGCTGCTAAAAAGAACATTATTTGGTGTATTTGGTGTAATGAAATGTGTTTATGCGGTTTAAGGTTTTTCCACATACTGTACATTATTGTTTCTCCTCTATGCCCCGCCTTTCTGAAATTCGTCGATTTTTACAAAGCTCATCGGTCTGAATAGCGAGGTGTACGCTGATTGGCCAGCTATCCAGTGCGTTGTGATTGGCCGAATACCTGAAGCGTGTGACGCAAATGTTACTCCCCTACCATACTGTTATGATGCCCTGTCAGGTCGGAGCGACGAGACAAAAACATTAAAACCCATTATAAACGAGGCATTTGTTGCATCCAGTGGGGACATACAGATTATAATGACTTATACTGTCTTTTTACGCGTTGCGTTGCGTTGCATCGTGCCGCATTAACATAAAACCATGTCTGCATTTGTGATCGGAGAAATGACAGACAACAAGCGCTACTCTACACTGCCCAAAACTCGCGTTTGAATCGTCAGTAGCAAATTCTTTCAGTGTCAAAATCCACGGTGAAAGCTGATCCAGCGATCCACAGCCCAAAGTTGATGTATTTCCTCAGCGACCAGCATGGATCAGCTCCAGGCATGACGAAGCAGATATCGTCCTCTTCTGGAAGACCAAACAAAGTAGTTTCGCTTTCACAATGAAGCACACAGCGCCTTCACGACATGATGGCAGCAAAAATACTACAGCGAGAATAAAAGTTATGCCTTCTTTCTTTTGGGCAGCATTATGCAAATCTTCCCACATCGTGACGTAGACATGTGGGGGCGTGTTAGAACGAGCCATTTTAGATAGGAACATGATAAAAACCAATGGTGAATTAAAAAAAGTTAACAATAATCATTTTTTTTAAAATTATTCCTCCATAAAAAGTGATATAGTTCATTAGCATAACTGTAGGCAGTTACTGTTGCCAAGCAATGTAGCGAACTGGTATACTGAAATAGAATTGAACTGATGTGCGCTCACAGATGTGCGTTTATTTTACAGTGGCAAATGCAGAACATCCAATTAGAACTCAATGTTTGAACTGAAAGTATAAAACATAATATACAGCAGATAACAAAATGACTTAAAAGACATTAAAAAAGGTTCCTGTGTGTGTGTGTGTGTGTGTGTGTGCGTTCTGGCATATACGGCCACAAATGTGTATAATGACATGGATACTACAACGTAAACACTTCCTGTGTCCTCATAAACCAAATGGCTTAAACATATTAAACTGTTTTTTTTTTTTGATTTAAAAATGCTGAAAGTTTTGTGTGAGGGATAGGTTTAAGGTAAGGGGATAGAAAATACAGTTTGTACAGTATATCAACTATTACGTCTATTGAGTGTCCCCGTAAACCACATATGCAAGTGTGTGTGTGTCTGAGGGATGTTTGTATACTTATGGATTTTATAGGGGTTAATAGGGATTTTATATACAGTATATTTAGATTTACTCACAAGGTCCTTGGCATTGAGAGACACATTGTCCCACCAGGGGGAGACAAATTCATATTCACAGTTCAGGATGCGTTTAAACATGTACTGGTCTCCTCTGTCATCAAAAAAGGGCTCAAAACCACATAACCTGTACAGAGAATAGAAACAAAAAACAGTGCTAGTTTTAACATCAGCTTCACCTCTACAAAGTGGCATTGAACTACAATTTTAAAGAATTATTTTCTATTTGAATATATTTTAAAATGCAATTTATTTCTGTGATATCAGAGCTGAATTTTTAGTACCCATTACTTCATTCTTTAGTGTCACATAATCCTTTAGATATCATTCCAATATGCTGATTATTATCATTTTATATGATAATTTTTTCAGTTTTTCAGTGAATAACTACCTAAATTCCAGTCAGTTCCTTACAAATGGATGAAATGGGTTTAAAACAACATTTACTGATGATAGATTTAAAAAAAAAAAAAGAGTTTTAGTTTTGTTTTCTGTCAAACTTTCTTAGACTTTATGTTTTTGTAAAAGAAACTACATCCAATTCCTGGAATTACACTCAGAAGTTCAAAACGTGCTTCATGCTTTTCACCAGTGAGGCTGATCTGAGACAAAACCAGCATTTCGCGATTGATACAACAGAGAGACTGAATGACTAAGCACAGCACATCCTGTGAAAGAATAACTTTAGACAAGTGTCGTGGCACTCACAAAATGTACGTGATAACTCCCACAGACCACATGTCAACCTCAGGGCCATAGGCACATCCCCGCAAAATCTCAGGAGCTGAGGGAGAGAAAGGCAGAACATCAGAAGAAAAGAATAAAGGGGGAGGAGACGCTCTGCTGCACTAATGCCGTAAAAAGACTACATCTTCTCTGTAATTCTCTTTGTGCAACTGATGGCCACAGATGGTGCTCTGTTAAAAAAACCTCCTCTTTAATAAACTCACCACAATAGCCTGGAGTCCCACACACAGTCTTCATTGTTACCTGATCGTCTACAATTTTCGACAAACCAAAATCCGCTGTAAAGATAAATCACACCAAAGAAAATCAGTTTTTCATTTTCTGAAATGGCTCTTGCAAAAGCAAACCTTGCTAAGACATAGTAGAGCATCGCTAAGCAGCTGATGGGGTGTTCTGGGTGGTTGCCAGGTGTTTGCTCAAGTCTCTATGATATTCTGGTCCCCAGATATGGCTCTAGTCTCTTCTTTAGTGGTCTAGTCTCATGACTAGGTGAATCTCATGACATGTGAGGAGAGCAGTACATATTTTAAAGCAAAAAAAAAATTTTGCTAAAATAAAATTAACCATTACAAATTTGTGCATTGCAACGTAACTGTAATGATAATTATGCATACCCCAATTCTCATTAACACACACACACACACACACACACACACATATGTGTGTGTGTGTGTGTGTGTGTGTGTGTTAATGAGAATTGGGGTATGCATAATTATCATTACAGTTACGTTGCAATGCACAAATTTGTAATGGTTAATTTTATTTTAGCAAATTTTTTTTTTTGCTTTAAAATATGTACTGCTCTCCTCACATGTCATGAGATTCACCTAGTCATGAGACTAGACCACTAAAGAAGAGACTAGAGCCATATCTGGGGACCAGAATATCATAGAGACTTGAGCAAACACCTGGCAACCACCCAGAACACCCCATCAGCTGCTTAGCGATGCTCTACTATGTCTTAGCAAGGTTTGCTTTTGCAAGAGCCATTTCAGAAAATGAAAAACTGATTTTCTTTGGTGTGATTTATCTTTACAGCGGATTTTGGTTTGTCGAAAATTGTAGACGATCAGGTAACAATGAAGACTGTGTGTGGGACTCCAGGCTATTGTGGTGAGTTTATTAAAGAGGAGGTTTTTTTAACAGAGCACCATCTGTGGCCATCAGTTGCACAAAGAGAATTACAGAGAAGATGTAGTCTTTTTACGGCATTAGTGCAGCAGAGCGTCTCCTCCCCCTTTATTCTTTTCTTCTGATGTTCTGCCTTTCTCTCCCTCAGCTCCTGAGATTTTGCGGGGATGTGCCTATGGCCCTGAGGTTGACATGTGGTCTGTGGGAGTTATCACGTACATTTTGTGAGTGCCACGACACTTGTCTAAAGTTATTCTTTCACAGGATGTGCTGTGCTTAGTCATTCAGTCTCTCTGTTGTATCAATCGCGAAATGCTGGTTTTGTCTCAGATCAGCCTCACTGGTGAAAAGCATGAAGCACGTTTTGAACTTCTGAGTGTAATTCCAGGAATTGGATGTAGTTTCTTTTACAAAAACATAAAGTCTAAGAAAGTTTGACAGAAAACAAAACTAAAACTCTTTTTTTTTTAAAATCTATCATCAGTAAATGTTGTTTTAAACCCATTTCATCCATTTGTAAGGAACTGACTGGAATTTAGGTAGTTATTCACTGAAAAACTGAAAAAATTATCATATAAAATGATAATAATCAGCATATTGGAATGATATCTAAAGGATTATGTGACACTAAAGAATGAAGTAATGGGTACTAAAAATTCAGCTCTGATATCACAGAAATAAATTGCATTTTAAAATATATTCAAATAGAAAATAATTCTTTAAAATTGTAGTTCAATGCCACTTTGTAGAGGTGAAGCTGATGTTAAAACTAGCACTGTTTTTTGTTTCTATTCTCTGTACAGGTTATGTGGTTTTGAGCCCTTTTTTGATGACAGAGGAGACCAGTACATGTTTAAACGCATCCTGAACTGTGAATATGAATTTGTCTCCCCCTGGTGGGACAATGTGTCTCTCAATGCCAAGGACCTTGTGAGTAAATCTCAATATTTATAAATCACTAATAACCCTCATGAAATCCCTAAGTATAAAAACATCACACACACA